ACCACTGAGCTCATGGGCCAGCTAGCCTGCTGGAGCTTCCTTTCTGGCCCCTTGAGCCTCTTCCTGCAGGAAGCCATGCCCACACCATGGGGCACACGGCTGCCCACCTCCCATGGGATGACCGTGCTCCCAGGGTGTTTGTGGATGCTGGACACGGGCCCTGACCTCTCATTAGCAGCTCACACGTCCACAGCGCCTCTCTGTGCTAATTGGGATGGGAATTTGGGTCTGAAAGATGTGGGAATTTGGGATTCACACTTGGTGTGTCTGCGAGACTTTGAATGGAGGAACTGGGATATGCTGGAGGCCCCCCCTAGGGCATGTGCCAAGGGGCAGAAGCCACACTGCTGCATCCAGCTGTTCTGCAGTGCTGCAAGGGGGATACCCAGTCCATCTGCTCCTAAAGGAGCCAAAGCTTCAGCAGGAAGGGGCTGTGGGCTTTTCCATGCTAGTGACACACTGCTCTGCTCTGTCCTGCAGGGGACATGGTGTTCCAGCACCGGGAGCCGCTGATCCGGGCCTTCCTGCGGGGTGCCCGGGACCCCGACGGAGAACTGCGGGCCAGCAGCCTCTCCAACCTGGGCGAGCTCTGCCAGCACCTTGGCTTTCAGCTGGGATCCATTGTCCAGGAGGTACCAGCTCGATCCTTCCCTGGGTCCCTGTCTGGGCAGCGTGGGGCCATAGCTTGTTTACAAGTGGGTTTGTTAGTGTGTGGTTGGGCTGCTGTGGACATGGAAATAGGACATTTCCATATGGAAATGGAACATTTCCACAAAAGACATGAGCGATAAGAGTGATAATTGCTTATACCATGGAGTATAAAAGCCATTGGGCCTGAAGCAAACACTCAGGAGGTTCTAGCCCTGATTTTTAGGTGTCTGCTCCACCCATGGCAGCTGCTGCCAGAGGAGACCTAGGGGCACAGGTGGTGCCTGCCAGAGACACCTCCTGCTTAATGACACTTAGTTACCCTCCCGTTATCATAATTATCATAATTATCATTATCAGTATGGCTGAGCCTTCCCATGCCCCGGCTGCAGGCTCTGAGACACTCACGGCTGCCTGGAGCCGCTGGCACTGTGATCCTGGTGGGGTGAGCCCAGCTGTCGGCAATCCAGCAGCCCTCAAGCTGGAGGGCTGTGCCCCCTGGGAGTCAGAGCTTCACCCCCCTGGTGCTCCTGGAGCTGGAGCCCACATGGATTTGGCACTCAGGCTTCTCCCCCGGTTGCCACTCGGCACCAGTGGGTCCCGGTGGTTGATGCGATGCCAACACGCCACGCGCTGCTATTTTGGGAGGGTGCAAGCTCTGCTAATTCTCCTGGCTGTCACTGCTGGGGTTTAATTAGATTCCTTTGGCTCTGCCTGATTTTTGTGCAGATTGTTATACAGCTTCCCGAGGCATCCATGTGCTGCCTGGCCCCAGCAGGAGGAAGGGCTGCTCGGATCCCATGCCCCGCAGGAAGCAGGACCCCCCAGCTGGGTACCAGGCCAGGCACTGAGGTCCCATCCTCATCCTCGGGATGTCCCCAGCATGGCAGCAGCTGCTCAGCCAGGATCCCCCACATGCCGCAGCCCTTGCTGATGCCCCCCTGCCCTGTCCCCACAGGTCACCTGCTGTGTGACGGCCATAGCCCAGACGGACCCCAAGGCCGAGGTGCGAAGAGCTGCTGTACACGTGGTGGTTCTGCTGCTGCGGGGGCTGAGCGAGAAGGTCACCGAGGTGGGTCACCCCCCGTTTGTCCCCATGGCAGGGACAGCCCTCAACAGGCCTGTGGGCATCCTTGCCCCACTGGGGCTGCAGGGCTCATTCCCAAGCAACTTCCAGGGAAAGTCTCAAGGGACTGAGACCCCCAACTTTGGCCTCCCCCACGAAAGGGCCCACTCAGCAGATCCTGGGAAAGCGAGGACTTTGTGGGGGCATCCCTCTGTGCTGTTGGGATGTGCCGTGGGGCCGTGTCATGCTGTGGGTAGTGCCAGCTCTCAGGAGCCGTGGGAGTTATTCATCACTGATTTGACTTGGAAATGCCCAGTGTTTCCTCCACTGTGGTCTCCCTCCCCAGTTCCCAGTAACAAGCATGTTGGGACTCAACTCCTATGGAGGAAACAGCTGGTTCCCCATGGGGATCCCCGCAGCCGGGATCTCAGCATCCCCCTGTGCCTTGGGCTGGAGGTTTACCACAATGTGCTGCTGGTGTGTGAGGAAACTGAGTCACAGGAGACCAGAGCTGTGGTCGGCAGTGGTGGTGCCGCGGTGTCCTGGCACCAGCAGTGCTGGGGGAAGGGGCAGCCCCACACCTGCTGGGACATGCCGAGGGGGCGAGGGTGGGCGAGGCACCAGTGGGTGCTGACACTTTCCATGCCCGCCATATCCAGGTGCTGCGGGACGTGCTGCGGGACCTGTACCGCCTGCTGAAGCACGTGGTGATGGCCGAGCGCGACGGCGCCACAGTGCTGCATGCACAGCTGGCACTGGAGGAGCTGGACACCGTCATGAGGAGGGTCCTGTTCCCCCCACAGACGCTGGAGAAGAAGATTGTTGTGCTGCCGTAGCAGGGCTGAGCCTGTGGAAATGAACTGTTCTGCTCTGATGTCGGGGCCAATGGCTCCCAGAACGGAAGGACTCGCTGTGCCCCCAGGATGCTGCCGGCAGGTGCCGGATGGGGTGGGGAACCTCGCTGGGACGAGGTGTGGGATTAAACAGAGACACACTCAGCCCTGTGTCTGTGGCGTCTGTGGGGGTCATGTGAAGCTTCTGGGTGCCATTATGGCCATGTCCTGGGTCCAGTGGAAGGATGGGCATCGCCCCCAGGGCCAGCATCAGTCCCTGGGCTGGCATAGCAGCCAGTGGGGCCAGTGCCTCAGGCTCCCTGTGGCCAACCAGCCACAGCTGCCCCTGAGGGGAGTTGGGAGGGTGAGAGACTCTGCTGTCTGCACCCCTTGAGTGAGCGTCCGTGGCCCCCCCTTGGCATCATACACCACAGGGATGCTGGGGGGTCTGGGGTCTCCTTCACCACAGAGTCTGAGGATGGGCCCCTCCGCTGTGGCACCAGGAGCTCTCTCCATGCCAAGGAGGGGCTGTAGGACCCTGTGGCTGTAGGCACTTGTCTGGGACCAACGCTCACCACCATGTGCTTTGGGACACCCCAACACTGGGGTCACCCCCGCCTCCAGCCAGGACAGCCCCCATGGGTGCTGCAGCACCACAGGCCTCATTCCTGCACTGGGAGTTGCTGCACACCTACGGTGGTGGGGGAGCAGAGTCCTCAGGAACCCAGCCCTTACCCCCCTCACTCCCCTGGCACCATGCAGCCCCCAGCCCCTCCATGTGTACAACCTCAGGTGCCCATTTCCCAGCTGCCCTGTGCCATACCAGATACTGGAGGGGGTCTGGCACACCCCTTCCCTACCAGGCTGGGGGTCCTGAGCTGTGTCACCACCCCCGTGCTGTTCCATGTGATGTCCTGAGTGGCAGCAGGAGCACATTGTCCTCCCTGGAGAGAGCAGTGGTGGCCAAGCGCTTCTTCTCGCTCCCGGTGCTGTGTTGGACCACGGGCATGCACCAGGGTGCTGCTGTACCAGCTGTGCTTGTCCAGGGGCTGCCACAAGTGGTGGAGGATGAATTTGGAATGGACAGTCTCTTTTGGTGCCACTGGCTGGACACTGGCTGGCCATCCTGCCTCTGGCAATAAGGACATGTCCTGCCTCTGGGAACAAGGTGTCTGGCTGTCTTGCCTCTGAGAGCAAGGATGTGTCCAACTGTCCTGCTGCTGGGAGCAAAGCAATGGCTGTGCTGGGGATGGAGGTAGTTTGATTCCCACCTTGGACAGGCACACCAAAAGTGAGGGGTCTCTGATGAGGGCACAGGGAGGGCTATGATGTGGGGACACGCTGTCCCTGTCCTGTGTCCCCCCTCCCCGTAGTTAGGCACCTGTAGCCACAGGGACCCTGGCAGTACCACGGCAGTGACACAGGCCACACCAGTCTGACCCCACTGTGCTGGGCTTTGCACCCCCGCAGCCCACTGCTGCCCTGTGGGAGCCCTGCCTGTGGTGCTGAGGGTCCCGGCATATCCCTGTCCCATCCATGGGCTCACCAGCTCCTCACCACCCGCTCCAGGCGCTTGGGAAGATCCCAGCTGGCATCGCTGCCTTGCTGGGGATGTCATTCGAGGGGGACCTGCCTGCCCAGGGTGCTCCCACTGGAGGGATTCCCTTCCCCAGCTCCCGGCACTCGGAGGCTCCGGGTCCAGTCCTGGTGTCACTTCGCATCCGGCTCCCAGCGCAATCGGACACAATGGCCCGTATTGGGGTGAGGAACACGAAAGTGCCGGATTTAAGCCCAGAGCCGAACTGCAACTCCTATGGACTCAGAATGGCTTCTCCCGGAGCTGGCTGTCCCTTGCCATCAGCCCGGCACGGGAACATGGTGCTGCTGTCCCCGGGCTGACCCTGGTCCTGTCCCGGCACCCACCGGCCACAGGGACAGGGTGACACGGGTGGCTCATAGCCGTGAGAGGACACGGTAGCACAGGGAGGTGACACGTGGGCGTCATAAGAGGGGCCCAAGAACGGGGTGGGGGGAAATGGAGTGACGGTCCCTGGCCCGTGGCGCTGCGCCGGTGCCGGTGCCGGCTGATGGTGATGCCGGTTCCGGTGCAGCACTAGAGCAGCTGCCGGTGCTGCCGGTGCAGCAGCTGTACCGCGGTGCCTGTGATGATGCCCGTGTCGGTGCAGCACTGGTGCCGCTGATGCCGGTGCTGCCGGTGCCGCCGGTGCCGGTCATCACTCCCGCAGTGCGGGGCTGCGTCCGGTGCCAGGTGCTGCCGGTGCAGGGCCGGTCCCCGGTGGCTGCGGGCGGAGCCGGAGCCGGTGCCGATGCCGGTGCCGGGGGCGGTGCCGGCGGTGCCGGTGCCGGTGCCGGGCGGGGCCCCCGCGGGCTGCGGGCGGTGCCGGCCCCGCCGCGGTATAAAGGGGCCGCACGGGCCGGGCTGGGCGCACAACGGCGGCGGCGGGTGGGGAGCGGCGGTACCGGTACCTCCACGGTGAGTCCCGGCCCCTCCTTCTTCCTCCCGGCCCCGCTGGTCCGGCTCGGGGCTCTCCTGCAGCGCTGCGAGACCGGCGGCGGCACCGGGGGCTACGGGGTCGGAGGTAGCGGGTAGCCAGGAGCGCCGGGGGCTGCGGGACCGGGAGGAGTCGGGAGCGCCGGGGGCTGAGAGGCCCCGGGGGGGCTGCTCAGGGGCTCTGCCGGCGGCACGGGTGTTCCTGGGGCTGGCTCTGCGCCCTGCCTGCACCCCCGCACGTGGTCGTGCACCCCCCGACATGCCCGCACCCCCTGCCCGCACCCGTGCCCTGGTGCAGCTCTGCAGTCCCGTCCTGCCCGCGCTGCCCGTCCCCTCGTCTCCATCTCGCCGCGGGGAGGGGGGTCTAGGTGCTTCCACCCCTGCAGCCAGGGGTCCCGCCACAGGCGGTCGGGGTGTTGGGGGGCTCTGGGTGGCCGTGATTTCCCCGGGGACACCCTAATCCCTGGCGTCCCTGTGCCCTTCCCTGTCCTCTAGCCCAGCCATCTCTTGGGAGCAGCTGTGCTCCCACTTGGCTGAACAGGGGGTGCTGGCACTGGGCACTGTGGGGTGCTTGGGACCTCCACACCTCGCCTGCCACCCTGCACAGTGGGGTGGTTGGGACCCTCATCTTCATCTGGCCCCATGGAGACACTGGGAAGGTGTCACCCTCAAACCAGTGACCAGCAAGGGACAGGGTGTCCATGGGGCAGCAGAGGAGCAGGGTCCCCCCACTTTTGTGTTATGGGGAGGCCTGGTGGGGAGCGTGTCCCTCTGTCCCTTCCCTGATGCTCCTTGGTGTTCCTCCAGATGCCAGGGAGCCTCTCCACGGCCCTGCGTGTCGTGGGGACCAGCCTCTTTGCCGTGGCAGTGCTGGGGGGAATCCTGGCTGCCTACGTCACAGGGTACCAGTTCATCCATACGGAGAAGCACTACCTCTCCTTTGGACTCTACGGGGCCATCCTGGGGCTGCATCTCTTCATCCAGAGCCTCTTTGCCTTCCTGGAGCACCGGCGCATGCGGGACGAGGGGCAACCGGTGCGGCCGGGGCGCTCCGTGGCCCTTTGCATTGCTGCCTTCCAGGAGGATCCCGACTACCTGACGAAGTGCCTGCGTTCTGTCAAGCGCATCGCCTTCCCTGACCTCAAAGTGGTGATGGTGGTGGATGGAAACGGCCCTGATGACACCTACATGCTGGACATCTTCCATGACGTGATGGGCTCCGAGCACTCAGGCAGCTACATCTGGAGGAGCAACTTCCACGCGCAGGGCGAGGGAGAGACAGAGGCCGGGCTGCAGGAAGGGCTGGCCCGTGTCCAGGCGCTGGTGCGCAGCAACACCTACTCCTGCATCCTCCAGAAGTGGGGCGGGAAGCGGGAGGTGATGTACACGGCCTTCCGGGCGCTCGGAGACTCTGTGGACTACATCCAGGTGGATGCATGGGCTGGGGGGACGTGGGCAGTGAGTGTCCTGCCTGGGCAGCTGGGCAGAGGGGCTGTGGGTGGGATAGGAGCAGCCCTGGGAGCCTGCAGGAGCACTTGGGTGCCTGGATGTGGCCCCACGCACCGGCCCTGAGCCACTGGCACTGGGGCTGGGGGTGAGTGGCACTGAGGTGGCCAAGGGGTCGAGCCCTGTCTGCAAGGGTGCCACATCACCTCCTCAGCATGTGCCCTGACATGGTGTCACTGAGTGGGACAGCGTGGCACAGCGCAGGGTCCTAGGTCCCCAGGGTGGCTGGGACAGGTCCTCCATCAGTTCTGGGGATGGGTGTCCTGGGGCAGTGGTGTCCAGGCACCACGGGGTGCTCCACTCCCTGCCATCGCCTGCCGGCCTCCAGGGCCCTGCCTGGTCTCGCCATCCATGGCTCAGGCTTGCCCGGCTGCGGGCTGGGCTGTCTGCCGGGTGCGTGTGGGCGGCGGGAGCGGGGCTCAACATTCCCTCTGCCCCCAGGTGTGTGACTCAGACACGGTGCTGGACCCCGCCTGCACTGCCGAGATGCTCCGCATTCTGGAGGCCGACCCCCGTGTTGGCGGCGTTGGTGGCGATGTGCAGGTACCTTGGTGCGAGGGAGGGCACCCCAGGGCGGCGAGGCGAGGGCAGGGCTGGGAGTGCCGGGGGCTGCAGCAGTGCCAGAGCTCACATCCCTCCTCTCCCTAGATCCTGAACAAGTACGACTCATGGCTCTCCTTCCTGAGCAGCGTGCGGTACTGGATGGCCTTCAACGTGGAGCGTGCGTGCCAGTCGTACTTCGGGTGCGTGCAGTGCATCAGCGGCCCCCTGGGCATGTACCGCAACGCCCTCCTGCAGCAGTTCCTTGAGGACTGGTACCACCAGACCTTCCTGGGCAGCAAGTGCAGCTTCGGGGACGACCGGCACCTCACCAACCGTGTGCTCAGCCTGGGCTACCGGACCAAGTACACAGCTCGCTCCAAGTGCCTGACGGAGACACCCACGCGGTACCTGCGCTGGCTCAACCAGCAGACCCGCTGGAGCAAGTCCTACTTTCGTGAGTGGCTCTACAATGCACTGTGGTTCCACAAGCACCACCTCTGGATGACCTATGAGTCGGTGGTCACTGGGTTCTTCCCCTTCTTCCTCATTGCCACCGTCATCCAGCTCTTCTACCGCGGTCGCATCTGGAACATCCTCCTGTTCCTGCTGACGGTGCAGCTGGTGGGTGTCATCAAGGCCACCTACGCCTGCTTCCTGCGTGGTAATGCTGAGATGATCTTCATGTCCCTCTACGCCCTCCTCTACATGTCCAGCCTGCTGCCCGCCAAGATCTTTGCCATCGCCACCATCAACAAGTCGGGCTGGGGAACCTCAGGGCGCCGCACCATTGTGGTGAACTTTGTGGGGCTGCTGCCAGTGTCGGTGTGGGTGGCAGTGCTGCTGGGTGGGCTGGCCTACACCGCCTACAGCCAGGACCTCTTCAGCGAGACTGAGGTGGTCTTCCTCATTTCAGGTGCCATCCTCTACGCCTGCTACTGGGTGGCCCTGCTCACCCTCTACCTGGCCATCGTCGCCCGCCGCTGTGGCAAGCGGGAGGAGCAGTGTGGGCTGGCCTTCACTGAGGTCTGACTGCAGGGTGGTGCCACATGCCGGGGGGTTCCTGTGTGCCAGAGCAATCATCCCCAGTCCCCTCTTCCCCCATCCTGGAGCTGGGATGGTAGAAGTGCCAGGTGCTGGGGTGTCCCTGTGTGCCAGAGCAACCACCTCAGATCCCCTCTTCCCCCATCCTGGAGCCACCAGGTGCTGGGCAGTGCCAGGATAACTACCCCCAGTCCCCTTTCCCATCCCAGAGCCAACGGGCAGCGCTGAGCGCTCCCACCCCTTGGCATTTCTCAGCAAATCTAGAAATCTTGCTAATTTTTTTATTAATATGTTTATTTTTTCCCTATCATTTCTCCATCCCAAGCTGGCTGTGGAGAAGCTGAGCCAGGGCTGCCCATCACCCAGCTGGGTGCCGCTGGCCACATCCCTGCTGTGCCCTATGGAGCATCCTGGTGCCGAGCGCTGCTGGCTGCGCTCCCCCCACCCCAATTCAGAATTTTCCACCTTTCGGTGCTTTTTATAGGGATTTCAGTCCCACCTCCACGGTGCTACAGCACTTCCCACCCCCAGGACACACCGTCTCCGTCTGGCACGGTGCCAGCACTGCTGGATGGTGCTGCCTCTGCTCCACTGCTGCGTGCAGGCACGTACCCACGGGGAGCCCCTCCAGCCCTTTTTGGGGGGGGCCGGCTGCTCCAGGAGGGCAGCAGGTCCCTTCAGCTTTGCCAAAGAGCCAATGGGGGAATCCTGGTGTGGAGAAACTGGGAAAATGGGGGGAGCTGTGGGTTGTGTGGAGCATTCCCCCCAAAGGGGCCGTGGTGGTGCTCTGGCCAATTCATGGCCCCATCATTCCCACCCCACTGCCTTCTCAACAGTAGGAAGACACTGGGATTTAGGCAAGGTGCTTCCCAACCTTTCCCCTCCCAAGGGAATTGACCTCTGGGTCCTTTTTGTCAGGACTTGGATGAAAACCCCTTTCTACAATGGAGGTTTTAGCTGTTTTTTGTTTAACTTAATACAAGGTTTTTTAGGAGACTTTTGTAGCTCTTTGGTATTGTCATGGATGGTTTGTAAATCTATTTATTTTTGAACCTGCCAGGGGGATTCTTTTCATATTTTAGGGGAAAAAATGTTTTTATATCCTGATGGAGTTGTGGAAATAAAGACTCGCATCAAGGATGTGTGCTGTGTTTTGGGGAGGGTTCCTGGTCCCCCTGCCCTGATTTGAGGGAGACTGGGGCTGAGTCCCTGTCTGGCACTGGTGTCCCCGCAGATGCAGGGAGGGGTAGAGGGGGACATCTCCATGCTGGCACCTCCGTGGGTCCCTGGGAACTGCTGAGTTCAGGCACTGAGGGCAGCCCTCAGATAGGACATCCCTGCATGGGCTCACAGGAGGTCCCTGCCCCTCAGGAACCATGTCCCCTGGAGTGACCCACAGCATCTATGGTTCTCAGAAAAGAGTCATTTTGGGGGGACAAGTGACCCAGGAAGGGCTCAGGGTGCCCAGACACAGAACTCATCACCTTGAGAGTTCCCTGTGCAGGACAGGGATGAGGTCCTGGATCTTTCTCAGTCCTTGCTGCTCTTCCCAGCAGCAGAATGAAGTTCACAGCCCCCATCCATCCCCCTCACACCTTCTTGGGCACGTGGGTGATGATGGGCTTGGGGCGGGTTTTGAAGAGCAGTTTGGTTTTGATGAGGGCGGAGACAGTGTAGTGCCCCTGTGGCTCCCCAGGGCTGGGCTGGGGGGCTCCTCCCTGCTTCACCAGCACAGCAAACGGCTTCTCCAATTGCACCACCTTGCCATAGAGGATGTGGTGGCCCACGATGAGCACAGGGACGCCCTGGGGAGAGTGGAGGGTGAGGGTAGGTAGGGCCAGGCTGTCCACAGGGGGGACCCCAGTGCCACCTGCCTCACCTCGCAGGTGTAGTGCAGATCTCCCAGGAGGCTCCCGGCCAGGCTCCCGCTCTGCCGTGGCTCCACCTCGCCCTGCAGCTCCACCAGCACCCACTGTGCCAGGCTCCCGGTGCCGCTGCTATGGGAGAGACAGGGGGGTCACCCAGGGTGGTCACCCGGGGCCTGGCCGTGCCCCGGCACAGGGCTGCAGGGGCTGGACCCCAAGGGTCTCACCTGGAGATGACGATTTGCACCATGTCAGATCCTGGGGGGGGCTGCAGAGACACAGGTAGGGCATGGGGCAGGGCCTGCTACCCCTGGGGTCCCCAGGCTGAGCTCCTGCCCCTGGGCCCCACAGATGCCATGTCCAGATCCCAGACCTATCCCTTTCCCGGGCCCTCCAGCCATTCCCGGGCCCCACGGACCCCACAGATCCACCCATACCCACCCCCGCGGGCCCTGCAGCCCCCTCGGGTCCCACAGCCCGTCCACAGACCCATACCTTCCCCGGAGCTTGCGGCCCCCATGCCCACACTCCCCCTCTCGGTGCCCCGCAGCGCCCCGGTGCCGCCGCCCGGTTGCGCGGGGCGCTGGTGCCCTCCAGCGGCGCCGGGGCGGCGGGGCCGGGGCGGGGCCGCTCGACGGGGCCTTCGGGGGCCGGGCCCCTCCCATCCGCCCCCCCTCCGCCTGGCCCGGGCCGACCCCCTCCCGCTTCCCCCGCGCCGCTCCCGCACCCGCCGCCAGCCGCGCGCGAATCTCCCGCCGCGCCGCCGCTTCCGCCTCCGGTCACGTGCGGCCCCCGGGCAGCCCCGGTTCCGGTGCCTCGCGCACGTGGGGCGGAGCGGGGCCGGGACCGGGCTCGGGATCGGAGCGGGGCCGCCGCGGCGCGATGGGCGAGTTCGAGGTGCACCGGGTGCGGTTCTTCGGGCTGGTGCCCGCGGGCGTGCGCTGCCTCGCCTGCCAGCCCCGCGGCTCCCGCCTGGCTCTGGCCCGCACCGACGGCACCGTCGAGGTGTACAACTTCGCCGCCAACTACTACCAGGAGAAGGTGAGGGCGCCGGCACGGGCCGAACCGGGCTGTGCTGGGCCGGTACCGAGCCGTACTGGGCTTTAGCGAGCTTGTACCGGCCCCGTACGGAGCCTGTACTGGGTCTGTACCGAGCCGAACCGGGCCATACCGAGGCTGTGCCGGGCTTTACTTGGCCCTGCCGATCCGCACCGGGCTGTACAGGGGCTGTACCGGGCTCTATTGGGCCGCTCCGAGCCGTGCCGCGGTGTGACGCCCGTCCCCCCGCAGGTGATCCCCGGGCACGAGGCGCGGACGGTGGAGTCGCTGTGCTGGGCCGCCGGGGACCGGCTGTTCGGGGCCGGGCTCAGCGGGGACATCACCGAGTACGACCTGTCTCGGCTGAGCGCGGCCCGCGGGGCCGACGGCGGCGGGGGGCCCATCTGGAGCATGGCGGCCAACGGCACCGGTACCCAGCTGGCGGTGAGTCCCGCCGGGAACGGCATCGGGAGCAGCGGCAGGGGCGGGGAATCCTCCTGTGCCGCCAGGCTGATCCCGACCTTCCACAGATCGGCTGCGAGGACGGTTCTGTTAAGATCTTCCAAGTCGTTCCTGGAGGGATCCAGTTCGAGCGGAACCTGGACAGGCGGAAAGGTGAGTCCGGCAGCAGCACCATCCCTTTGTCCCCCCTGGTGTCCTGGTGACCGAGGGGCTGTGAGCCCGTGGGGTCACACCCGGAGCTTCCCTCCCCAGGCCGTGTGCTGTGCCTGTCCTGGCACCCCTCGGACACCCACATCGTCGCCGGCTCCATTGATGTCTTCCGTGTCATTGATGTCGCTTCAGGTACCTCCTGCCCCGGGGGTGACCCTGGCCTGTCCTACAGCACTGCCAGCACCCACTGGCCTCCTGTGCTTGGGGGGATCCCTGGCCACCACCAACTGTCCTCCATGTGCAGGTCAGACTGTACAGAGGATCATGGTGAACTACCACGTGGAAAAGGTGAAGCGCGAGTGCGTGATCTGGGCCATCGCCCTCCTTTCCAGAGGCACTGTGGTCACCGCTGACTCCTTCGGGAGGGTACAGTTCTGGGACTGGCAGCAGGGCACGTTGGCAGAGTCCCATACTGTCAGCACCTCGGCTGTGCTCTCGTTGGCTGTGGCAGAGGTTGGTGAGACTCCCATGTCCTCCCTCATCTGACAGGGGCCCGTGGCAGGAGCTGCCGGGCTCGGTGCCTCCTGATGGTGCCCTCCCTCTCTTCTCAGTCTGCTCCCACAAACCCATTCCGGTTTTTGTCCCCAGAAGGAGGACAGCATTGTTGTGGGTACCTCGACCGGAGCCACCTACCAGCTGCAGCTGCTGCCGGTGAAGCTGGGTGGATCGGAGAAGCGCTGGGTGCGGACCAAGCCCTTCCAGCACCACAGCCATGACGTGCGGGCCGTGGCGCACAGCCCCACCGCCCTCATCTCCGGGGGTAGGACTGCCAGGGGCACCGGGACAGGCTGGATCTCCCCTCCTGGTACCAGCTCAGCTGATCCCTGTTTGGCTTCCAGGCCTGGATGCCCAGCTGGTGATCCGCCCGCTGATGGAGAAGGTGCAGAAGAAGGGCTATGATGCAGTGCTCCGAAAATTCACCTTTCCCCACGTGAGTGACACTTAGAGTGGTGTCTTGTGACTGGTGGGGTAGGTGGGCAGGGCTGGATCTTTCTGCGGGAGAAGCTGGACCTCCTTGCCCCTCTGGGTGCCCTCCTTTCTCTGACGGGGTCCCTTCCCTGGCCCTGCGTCCCTTCCCTGTCCTGTTGCGTCCCCTTCCTTGGACCTGGTACATCTGGAGGCTTCTGCCAAGGAGTGGTAGAAGTTAGCAAGTTGGTCTTGCTGGTCCTGCCAGGTCTCCATTTCCAGGCTCCCATCCCGTGGAGCCTGTTCTCCCCCACCTTGGAGTCTCCAGCACCCTAAGGTGTTCTGCTGGTGCCCCACCCTGTTGTGCCAGGCTGTGGATCCGTGACAGCCTGACCATTTCCGTGACATCCTGCCTGTTCCTCCGCACAGCGACGCCTTGTATCCTGTGCCAGGAAGGCCCGGCTGCTCCTCTTCCAGTTTTCCCAGCACCTGGAGCTCTGGAGACTTGGCTCCACTAAAGAGACTGGTGAGTCGCAGGTGTAGCTCTCCGGCATTGGCCCTGTGGCAGAGCCCATCTGTCCCAGAATTTTGGGATTGAGCTGTGCTATGCCTCAGGTCTGGTTACTCCCCCAAGGATCCCCAGCTGCCCAACAGGACCTCTGTGGTTTTCCCACCATCACTGATGCTCCGTGTGCTTTCTTGTCCCAGGAAAGGATGGCGAGGTCCTTCCCTTGTGCCGCATGCCCGAGCACCTGGTGCAGCTCAAGAGCAAGGTAGGGCTGAGCGGGGCAGGGGTCCCCCTCAGAGGGGGGCACTAGATGGGCTCTGGGAGTCCCCCAGGCTCCTATCAACCCTGCAGCATTCCCAGGGCCCGGAGCACATCTACTGCAGCTGTGTCTCACCCTGTGGCACCTGGCTCGGCTACTCCACCGCCTCCCGGTTCCACCTGTACCGCGTGCGCTGCGACGGCATCAGCCTCAGGAAGGTCAGGAAGGGTGGAGGGGGCTGCAGGGTCACGGGGGGCTGGCATGGTCAGTGTCACAGTGGTGACAGCAATGGGTGGCAGTGGGGTCCTGGTGGGCTGACGTGTCCCTGGGGGGTTGTCATGGCCGGTGTCACACGTAGGGAGCGCTGGTGGCAGTGGGGTGGCTGCCAAGACTATATTCTCCCCGCTCCCAGGTCCCAAAAGTGCCCAAGCTGCTGCTTCCAGCCTACCAGCTCCAGTTCTCTGCCGACTCCAACAGCCTCTTTGTCGCCTCCGCTCGAGGATCTGTCCACGTGCTCCAGCTGCTGGAGCCGGGGAGCTGCAAACACCTGCACACGCTTCGGCCACCCTCAGGTGTGGGCTGAGGGGAGCTAGGGGGGAGCTGGGGGTCCCTGGGATCCATATCCCCTCCCCGTTCTGGGTGCAGAGAGGAGTGTGTGTCCCCCTTTCCCCTCGTGGGTTGTGTGTGGGTCCTTCCTCTGGGTGTTTGAGCCACCCTCATGGCCTGGCACCAGATGGGCAGGGGAACATGGGTCTGAGTGTCCCCTGGGGGGATCTGGGACTCCAGCAGCCCTTACAGCTGGAGGGTCTCTACAGGGTGCTGCGAGGCTGTTTACCTCCTGGCGCCAAGCGCAGACGGGCACTGGCTGGCAGCCGTCAGTGGGGACTGGGCCATCCATGTCTACAACCTGAAAAGCTTCAAGGTGGGTGCAGGAGTGACCCTCACTACCCCCCTGCCTTGAGAGACAGGGGGCAGGAGGCTCAGCGGGCAGGGCCCCTCCCTGGGAGCCATCACTGTGGCCCTGGAGCAGGGCTGGGGTGGATGTCTGGGAATGGATGTCAGAGGTGGCCCTGGGGGCTCCACTTTGGGGGTGGATGTGTGGGGAGGGGGATCAGAGGCAGCCCCAGTGGATCCCATCAGCACACTGTCCTTCCTGCAGCATCACTGCCTGGTGCCCACCTACAGCTGTGCAGTGTCAGCCCTCGCCATCCACCCCAGCACCAACAACCTTGTCATTGCCTACTCGGACCAACAGGTAGGAGCTCTCCTGGTTCAGCCCTCATGGCCCCGGTCCTCTCCCTGTCCTCAGGGCTTTCCAGACCGGCTCTGGGGCCCATCTGGCTGTTGCTGGAGCTGGAGCTGCCCCTGTGCTGGTGTGGGGGTGATGCCAGGCAGGAGCAGACCCCTTGAGCTGCCCTGTGTTCCCCCTTGTGCCTGTGCAGCTGATGGAGTTCAGCATCCCCGAGCAGCAGTACACGGCCTGGAGCCGCACGGTGCAGAGACGGGGGCTGCACCGCTGCTGGCTGGAGCGGGACACGCCCATCACCCACATCACCTTCAACCCTAAGAACCCCTCACACATTCTTCTCCATGACACCTACTTGTTCTGTGTCCTGGACAAGTCCCTGGTGAGCCTTGGGGTGCCCAGGCCACGTCCCTGAGGAAGGGGTGGTGGCCTGGGCAGTGCTGACCTGGGCCATACCTGCTCCCCACAGCCCCTGCCCGACGACAGCACCCCCCTGATGAACCAGAGCACCCTGAAACAGCTTCCAGAGACGGCCAGGAAGCGGCAGCTCCATGCCTTCAAGATCTGCAAGAAGTTCCAGGTGGGTGATGGTGTTGAGGAGTCGGGTCAGGAGGGTGTTCAGGACATGGAGAGGGACTTTGGACAGGGGCCTGGAGTGACAGGACAAGGGTGAGTGGCTTCCCACTGACAGAGAACAGGGTTAGATGGGATATATGGAAGGAATTCTTCCCTGTGAGGGGGGGTGAGGCCTTGGCACAGGTTGCCCAGAGAAACTGTGGCTGCCCCATCCCTGGAAGTGTCCAAGGCCAGATTGGATAGGGCTTGGAGCAACCTGGTCTAGTGGAAGGTATCGCTGCCCATAGCAGGAGGTGAAACAAGATGGGCTTTAAGGTCCCTTCCCACCCAAACCATTCCATGATTCTTTGATTCTGACCTCCTGCCCTGCAGCCCCTGCTCTTTGCGGATCTGCTGGATGAGAACTCCCTGGTTGTGGTGGAACGACCCATCATGGACTTCAAAACCCAGCTGCCTCTGCCTGTCCAACAGAAGAAATTCGGCACCTGAGAGCAGAACAAGCTGCTCCGGCCTCAGGAGCTGTCTCTGTGTTGCTTTCCTGGGACACTGTAGGAATTTTCTTAGGGTGCTGTCAGAATAAAACCTCTCTGTTCTGTACATCTCTGGTCTTACGGCTAATCCGTGCTGTGTGAGACTCCCTGCTGTCACACAACCCTGTCACCCTGATCCTTGTATCCCTCTTCTCCTCCACAGAGCTGTGGGACAAGGTAACACCCCAAATTCCAAACTTCGTCCATGTCAGCATCCAATCCCAGCGCTGGCTTCTCTCTCCCCAGTGGCTTTGTGGGTCTGTGGGTGCTGTGTGGGACAGGGGAGCCTCATTCCCTGAGGATTGGGCTCTGTGGGTGCTGCCTGGTATGGGGAAGCCTTATTCCCTAAGGATGGGGGTCTGTGGGTGCTATGTGGGGCAGGGGAGCCTGATTCCATAAGGACGGGGGGTCTGTGGGTGCTGCCTCATTCCCTGAGGATGGGGATCTGGATGCTACGTGGGGCAGGGGAGCCTCATTCCCTGAGGATAGGGGTCTGTGGATGCTACCTGCAAGCCTCATTTCCTAAGGATGGGGGCTCCTTTGCTGCTGCGTG